TCCACAACGGAGCAGATACAGGTCCTACTGATGGGCTAATAACTTTCTACGGCCCTGTTCAGCTCTCATAGAGTCAATCGTCAGTGGCCTCCACCTGTAAAACCATTCCTGTTTTGAGTGTTGTGTGTTTTTGTTATTTGAGTATATTATTGAACTAAATAGTGTAAATAAAGTCTTTGAAAGTAATCCAACATGTCCAGGATTGTTTGCATTTTTCACCTCTCAGTATTTCTTTTGTTCTTTTCTTCCCAGGGTGCAGCATGAGCAACTGACTGCAATCTTTCAGCTACTGAAAGAGAACAAGGAGACTTTTGGGGAGGTGTCAGAGGGAGACATAGAGGAGCAGCTCCGACTCTACTCCATCTGAGAGCCCTGTCGTGTCATAGATGCTCACTACAACAGTTTATTCTTAAAAACTACTAAAAAACTTCTCCAGTACACCAAATGAACTTTTTTGCAGTATTCAACGTGGCTGGACAGTGCTCTCCCAATTTTCTGATTTATTGTGTTTTACTGCTTGGATTTTGTTGTTCTGACCACCTGTCATCCACACGAAGGGAAAACCAAACTAGACTGGATCAATTCTCACACTGAGCAGGTTAATATATGAATGAATCCTAAAAGAAATTAAAGGAATGCTGTTTATTTTACTTTTAAAATATATTGCAGATATAAGTGATATAAACTCTGAGTTATGTTTGTTTCTGAAGTTGGTTGTCTAATAAAACACATTGTTGCTAATATCTGTGTGTGTGGCTTTGTGTGTCTGAATACATTTGTTTGCTTATCTGTCTGCAAGCTGGGGTGTAGCCCAGCCTATTCACATCAGTGAGAGCATGTCAGATTTAGAAGGAAGTGCATACATGTGTGTTTAATTGAACAGCAAGCCTTCACTTGACAGCGATGGCATCCCAAATCTCCAGGATATTTTTATTGCTCCTTGTAATGACAGTTAGTTTTGTGGTTTTCATTCTATCCCAGGAATCTTTATCAAAAAGGTAATTTTTTTTCATATCTATCTATGTATATCTATGTATTAATTTGCTAATTCTGAACTTTTTGCTCCCTTTTGTCCTGTTGCTGTTGTTGCAGTTGGACAATTTTCTCAGGAAAACATGAACTCGGATGGGAAAACTTTTCGTTTAATATTAACCTCTGGGGACAGAAAGAAAAAACAGCTGTGGCTGAGACTCCAATGCCTCTCCTCTACAGAGGAAATTTCACAAAGGCTCCTCAGTGGGATTTTGATGATGTCTATAACCAGGATGCCCCACCTAGACCAACAGTAAGCATGCTAAGACACAATATGACAGAAACAGGACAAATGTAGTAATTAACTTGATGGCTGTGGGCAGGCAACGCTTGTGCTCAGCCATGCAGTCAGTCTGCTTTCACTTAACGGTTTCACTCCTTTAATTAAAATACATAATTCTTAATTATTCATCAAATTTCTGTAACTGTTGTGTTTGTTGTTTCCTCGGGGTATAAAGCTTTCACAAAATCATTTTAACTAATTTCATGATTTAATATTTCTGTTATTATCAGACATGTGCCCAATCACTGCGAAACTCTAAGGATGAGAACTTCAAGAAGGCTTTTCTTCCCAACATACGTTTGTTTCTGCACAAGGACAACATTAACATGAGCGAGTGGAATCGCCTTTCACACTTTAACAATCCTTTTGGGTTTATGCAGTACAAATATGATGGTAGGTGTTTGTGAAACTGATGCCAGATTAAATATCAGTATATATGTGAGCTTGATCAGCAACTAAGTAATAGATTTTTTGTTATTTAATTTCTCCTTCCAGTTTCTGACTCCTGATATTATAATAAAGACAGA